AAAGAGCCGTCAACACCTGGTGAAGAGTGGATGCCAAAGCTCCAGCTTTGTGTTTTGAGGAATATCATTCACTAATTTGACCAATACCTTTATATAGTGAGTACCTAGTAGTATCCACCAGGCACTATTCTAGGCACTGGGGATACAGTAGTGGATAAAACAAAATTGGAGGGTGGGAGTGCGGAGACGGGGGAGAGGCAAACAAGGCCAGTATAACTTCAGTTAGCTGAAGCAAAGTAAGATAGGGGAAGAGTGGAATAAGAGAAGGTAGAACAGTGGTGGCTCGTAGTGGGAATAAGCAAGACTGGAATAAAGATTATAGAGAATTCTATTCTCGACATGTTAAGTTTGAGGTAGGCATCCAGGTAGACATATCGAATAGACTCTTGGATATATAAGTCTGAATTTCAAAGCTAAAGTAAACTTGGTAGTCATGGTATCAAAATAAAGACGATATTTAATGCCACAGGAGAGATACAATGCATAGGGAAGAATTTAGATATGGCGGTAGCAATTTGTGAACCTTTGTTGGATTCTGATTCAAACTATAAATGACACTTATAAAACAATTTGAAATTTGAACACTGACTTGATATAAGTGATATTAAAGAATCATTTTTCACGTGTGATAAATGTCCTGTGACTATATTTTTAGAAACATGAAATATTAAAGATGAAAAATTATATCTGGAATGTCCTTCAAAATAATATGGACAACATAATATGGAAGTTGGGGGAAAGAGGATGAGGAGTATAGATAAAACAAAATTGACCATGTGTTAATTGTTGAGGGTAGCTGACGGTACATGGAAGTTCATTATACTATTTGACTTTTTTATTTATTTAAATTTTTCCATAATAAAAAGGTTTTTTTAAACTAAAACTAAAATCTTCTCTGAGGTTTCTCTGACCTGATCTGTAAGAGTAATTCCCAATTAACAAAATTGTGAGGAGGATTAAATCAGGTAAATATTTAAAGCACCAGGCACATAGCAGCTGCTCAATAAACAATGGCTCTCTCACTCTTTCTCTCACCCCCAGCCTCATCTGAATGAACAGGAAGCCATCTGAATGAAAAGTTTTGAAACTATGAAAGATCAACTATTGAGTAAGAATATTTAGAGAACGTTTAAAGGATATAACATTAACTAATGTTTAGGATTCACTTGGCAAAACTGAAGAAAACTGACATTTTCAGTTATTTTCAAGCTTTAGTTTGCATAGGAAATCTTTCGGGGTGCTTGTTAAAATTTCAGATACCTGGGCTCTACCCACAAAAGTTCTGATTCAAAAGACCTGGAGTGGGACCCAGAACTTTGCATTTTTAGGAAGCATTCCAAAGAATTTTGTTGCAGGTGGTCTTTGAAATACATTTGGAAACACTGTTTTTAAGGTCTCAAGTGACTCTAGACAACCTCTTTAGACCAAAAACAGTCCTTAGGGTAGTGAGTATTTTCTTCCCAGAAATACTGTGAATCTTGTGGAAAAGTCAAAGGAGCACAATCTCTTAGGATTCCATGACCATGGAAACAAAAGAATATAGAACCCCCTAACTCAAAGAATAATCCCAGCTGCCCAGAAATGTCATCAAGGATGAATGTCTGTAATCCCAACCCATTGTATTCACAAGGGGAAATTAAATGACTGGCAGTTAACTCTGACATTTGGGCTTGTGGAAGCTCCCAAAGGCTTCCTAAAATGGGATCTCTTCCCAGAAACTGAGCTATGAGCCTATGAGATGAGAAGCTAACACTTCCCAATACCACCACCAGTGATTTGCTCTCTGTTATGTTACCT